CATATGGTAATTTTTGGGGAAAGGATGAGAACACAAGCTCTCCTTTCTCTCTAAAATTTAGGCCACCTTGGAGGGATCATCTAGCAATCAAACTCCTCCAAGGTCACTCATTTCTTCTTCATTATGCCTTGGTGATGAATCATTAGAGGTTCTCAATTTTGGGAACTTGGAGAAACCTTTTCATCCATCCAAATCCATGAATCTAAGATGCAAGGAATGAAGGCCCTCTCTTTGGGTGATTAGCCTTTGCTTATGCAAAGAGGAATCTACAAAGGTATTGATTTCTCAACTCACTTTGTTTTGAGTTGAGTCTTGGTTCACCTATCTACTAGGCTTTGAATTTCATGGGTAAATGTTTTGTTTTTAAGTGCATACAAGCATGATTCCGCCTTTAATTGTTAATTGCATGCTATTGATGTTGCTTAAATGAACATGTTTTTCACAAATTTTCCTTCAAACATGTGGATCCAAACACCCTTAAGTGAGCGAGAGATCAACCTTTCTATCCTTCAACACTTCATATGGAGATTTGGAACCTAGCATTTTACTAGGAAGTCTATTGGTAAGATAGGTGGTTGTAAGTACTCCTTGTGATCAGAATTTCTTTGGTATATGCATATGAAACATGAGAACACCATTGTGTTGGGGTATGCCAACACAAGATGTGTTGATGTAAGATGCCATGGGTGCTTAGATATTGAGATATGTTATGGGACATATATTCAATGCCATTGTCGGACCTTAATATGTGAATTTTAGATTAGAATTGAGTACCAACAAGTTCATGAAAATCTTAAAAAATAGTTGCAAGTACTCCTAAGTTTCAAAAGATACAACCAATGATCCTTGTAAAATCATTAACAAAGGCTACAAAATTCTTATATCCATCAAAGGACTCAAGTATTGGACTCCAAATATCTGAGTGAATGACTACAAAAGGATTACTAGCTCTAGACATAGAGGAATCAAAAGGCAATCTAGCAAGCTTAGACAAGTGACACACATCACAATGTAACTAGTCTTTATACATTTTTTGGAACAAAAAAGACATCACTTTCTCAGAATGATGTATTGGTGCCAAAGGTTGTAGTCTTAAGATACAATGAAACTAACTTGAAAAACCTTGGGGTCTTTGGAGTCTTTAGCTATGTAATAGAGTCCACTAAAAAGGAAACCTTCACCAATCGCCCTCTTGGTGATGTCTTGAAAAACAACATAGTAAGGGGAGAAAATGGCTAGGCAATTTATAGAGTTTGTGATGGTTCTAACTGATAACAGTTGAAAAGGAAATGAAGGAACATAAAAGGCTACTAACTCTATGTGGTTTGAAAGCAAGTTGATTTTTCCTTTCCTAACAATTGAAGCACATTTCCCATTAACTACTAACACTTGAGATGGATTGGACAACTTTTTAAAATCATGCAAGTTAGTGATTTGGTTTGTCATATGATTTGTGGCACCTGAATCTATAATGCAATAATCATTTTCACCACTGGCATTAAGGGCAGTTAAGAAAGCACTTAATATACCTAGGATATCTCCATGTGGGACATGATCATTCTCAGCCAGAAAGCAGCAATTTTTCCTACTAAGGTAGTGTGATTCTTTCCTTGACACATATGAGCTTCTTCATAGTCATTATGCAATTGCTTTTTGCGAAGATAAGTTGTAAACTCATTGATCAATGCAATAGGATTGGCTGTGAAGTTCAACATTCCCTCAATTGAAGAAGTTGCTGCATGGTTAGCCTTATAAGGAGAGTTACTCAAACCCTTCTAAGGACCCTTAGTCTCCTTTGAGAACTTGGGTTTTAACTCTAGGTGAAAAGACCATCACCTATCTCTGGTGTGCCCATTAGTATCACGATAATTGCATTTTAAATCAAGTATTTTTTTTTTCCTTGTAGACCCTGCCTTCAACACAATTGTTACTACAAACATAAACTTTAGTTTCAAGAATACTAGCCTTAGTCTTTAGGCTCATCACTTTCTTCCTTACTTCTTGTGCTAGTTCTTTTTCACTAGGAAGAAGATCCAAGCAAGGTTATGTCAGTGGTGCTATTGAGGTGCATGAAACCACTTCTCTTGCCTATGAGTCGTTGTTGTGTAAAAACCAGTTGATCATGTCTAGGTTGCTTAATTCCATAGAGCGTAGAATTGCTAAAATCTTCAGCTATTCAAAATCATATATGGAACCAATTCAAAGAAATGTATGGCAATGAAAATAATGTTGCACGTGTCTTTCAGCTCAAGAAAGACATCTCAAGTTTACAACAAGAAGGGAAGCCTTTTTTTCAACACCTTGGTAACCTGATAAGCATGTGGAATGAGCTCAATGTTTATCATCCTCATACCACTAATGCTACTATTTAATAAGAGAGTCGAGGATGATAAGATCTTTCAACTTTTGGCAAGTTTGGGTACAAAGTTTGAAGATATTAGAAGCCACATTCTAATGAACTCTTAGCTCTCTTCCTTCTTTCACATCTGTGCGAAGGAAGATAATTGAATTCATTCAACAAGACATAAATGAGGAGTTGGTTAGGGTTAACTTCAACATGAAATTGAACTAATACAGCCAATGAGCTTTCATCTTCAGATGAATTTTCTTCAGCCATCTTGGCATGAAGAGAAAAGAAACATAGCTAAAATAACAACAGAGTCAAGAATTTAGGATTCCCGTTCTGATACCATGTAAAAATGTTTAGGTGTGTATTACATATTTTAACCATTTTTCATGAAGGTGACTTATATAGGAGGAAAGAATGAGGGAAACCTTCAACCCATTGCAATAATCACTCCTTAGATTGCTCCTAATCTATTTACAATAACAAGACGAACATGGTTTCTTAATTGTAGGTTAAACACAACATAAGAAGATATGTTGGACAACGTACTAAACCCTAAACCCTAGCCTTGTACTGGGTAAACCCCTAAACTGTAAAGGACAATGACTAATGAGTGATTTGTATCAATGAGACTCCCAATAGCCTCCAACTTCCAATAGATGTAATGTGAACTAGAGAGGATGGGGGTCTTATGACCTAAACATCTAAATTAGGGATGGTTCGGTATGGGATCCTAAACCGAAAGTGGGATCCCGAATTCCAAACCGAAAATTTTCAAGATAGGAATTTGAAGACCAAATCCAAACTGAAATTTCGGTATTCCCAATTTTCGGAATTCCTGAAATATTTTTGGTATGTCGGGATGGATAGGGATTGGATTTTTGGTTTTAGACTTTTGGGTTTTTGGGTTGAAATTTGAATTTTTTTTTTTATGTGGGCTAAAATTTGGGTTTTTGGCCTAAAATTTTGTTCTCCAATTTCATATCAATTGAAATTTAAGTTTTTTTACCTCATATTAATTTGAAATTTCATACCAAATGAAATACCAGTTCATTCATACCAAGTAAAATTAGTGTTCCATACTACTTCATGTTATACTTCTATGTCTAATATAGTCTACTATCAAACTATTTAAATTCAATATTCAACTTGCATGCAACCAAAATAAATATATATATATATATTTTTTTTTTCGGATTGGTTCGGGATTTCCAAACCGTTAAATATGTAATCTTGATTCCCATACCGAAAGGTTCGGAATCGGTTTGGTATGGATCCCGAAAATTTTGGTATTATTGGTTTGGGAATTTTTTGATTTGGGATCGGAAATTTTTTTTGTTTGGTTTGGAAGTTTTGGGAAAAAATTCCAGCCCTGCAAAATGCATCCCTCTCGTACAATGCAAAAACCCAACCCGGTGCAAAATTAGATTGACATGGAATCCACCACAAGCTAATCGAATGAAAGTGATGAGTGAGATTCCGTATTTGGATTAACAGGGGAAAGATGGCCTACTCTCCTTTCTTAAAGTCTGGCTAAACAGCTCTAGAGAATCTGATTCAAAGTCCACACCCTGGAAATTGTTATCGTTCGCTGAACAAACAGTAAGTAGAGCTGCCTTAGCTTCAGTTTGGAGAGCAGAAGAAGACAAATAAGGTTTGATGCACCCACAATAATAGAACCGCTAGAGGTAAGTAAAAAAACTCCCGAACCAGAATCATGGTTTTCCTTTGACCAGGCTCCATCAAAATTAGCCTTTATCAGACCAAGCGGGGGATGAGACCAGAGAGGTGGTGAAAGGTTGTAGTTCGGAAAAGGTAACATCATAACCCTCAGGCCTTGAAATTGCTTGGTGGAAATCCGAAACAGCTCAAGAACCTTCGCACTAGTATTTGCATCTTGATTTCCATATTTCCCAGCATACGAAAGAATATGTAGTGGTATATACCCAAGCTTGATTATTAGAGGGAGACCAAATTTTTCAAATCAAGTTTGCAAACTAAATGATGTGGTTGTAGATAATTAGATTATTAGTTAAGGTCGATAAACGTGCTTGTTTTTTATTGGTAACACATGATTTGGTTTAAAATTTTAATCTCCCTAGCATTACCCATGAAAAAGGGCCAGCTGCACTCCTTAAAGCCAAAAACCAATCATCAAAAGTTGTGATGCCAGCAATGTTAATTCCGTAGTTCAGTAAACATGCAAACTAAACACCGATAGATTTCGGGAACTCGTTACAAACAAGTTGAGCGTAAGCTTTTTGTTCAGCTTGTCTACACCAATAATGGACAAACAGTCTAACATATTACAATTTTAATATTGTGAATTTTGTCATGTTAATTGTATATAATACAGAATAGAAAGACTTGAAAAAATCACACAATCATTCACCAAAGTAAACAAAAATCAAACAAATTGAATAAAATTTCAAGTCTCAAGTGAAAAATTGTTACGTGGGTTTATGCCGATGATGAATCCAAACAAACAGACAAACAGTGGGCCCACTATGAAAATGACTCCATCTGCTACCCACGTGGCACATTTCACTCCTCTCCCCTCGGATCCTGCGTTATCTCCAAAACGCCTCCAGTAATTTGGACAACAAGAACGCTCAATCATCACTCATCACTCTCTCTCTCACTCGAATCCCGATAAATCAAGCAAAACATGAATCCCAAATCAGTTATCTGTTTGCTGCTCCATTTGGCGGCGCTCTGGTTGTGTACGGCGGCGGACCACGACGGCTCGAGCATCGTCTTCACCACGCTTGGCCGATTAGACTACAACTTCGACATCTTCACCCTCCCGATTCGGGGCCCACCGTCCTCCACCACCGAAACCCAAATCACAGATGGCAAATCCGTCAATTTCAACGGCAACTTCCCCAACAAAACCCGAATCCAATCCCCCACGCGCTCCGACCCCTACCTCCAGCTCATCTACGTCACCGAAAGAAACGGCTTCTCCAACATATTCTACGACGCCGTTTATCTTAATTCCCCGACGGCGAGCAGCGGAAGACGGTCCACCCTTGAAGTATCGGACCGGGTTCAGATCCCCTTGTTAAGTTTGGAGCAGGGGCAGAATCGTCTTTCCATGAAGGACAGGCCGACTTTGACGGGGGATTATTTGGTTTACGTCTCCACTCACGAGGACTCGGGTGTGCCAAGGACGAGTTCTGCCGCGGTGTACTCGACGCACCTGGACTCGGGTGTGACTCGGAGGCTCACTCCTCGCGGCGTCGCTGACTTCAGTCCCGCCGTGTCACCGTCCGGAATCTGGACGGCGGTCGCTTCGTACGGACCGAGAGGCTGGACCGGCGAGGTCGAGGACCTGAGTACGGACATCTACGTGTTTTTGACTGGGGACGGGACTAGGCGAGTCAAGGTGGTCGAGCACGGTGGCTGGCCGGGTTGGGTCGACGATTCGACGATTTACTTTCACAGAAGAGGCGAGGATCAGTGGTGGAGTGTTTACAGGGCAATTTTACCCAGAGAGGGTCCGAGCTCCACCAAGTCGGTGGTGGTTCAGCGAGTCACTCCGCCGGGTCTCCACGCGTTCACACCCGCCACGTCACCAGGAAACCACGACTTCATCGCCTTGGCGACCAGAAGACCCACCTCGAGCTTTCGCCACGTGGAGCTTTTCGACCTGGTGAGGAACGAATTCAAGGAGCTCACTCGGCGCGTCTCCCCCCATACCCACCACTTCAACCCGTTCATCTCGCCCGATTCGAGTCGGGTCGGGTACCACAAGTGCAGAAGCAACAGAAACAAACAAGAAAAGTCCAAGCTTTTTCTTCAAAACATCCACAGCCCAATCCCGAACCTGTCAATCCTGAGAATCGACGGTTCGTTTCCTTCGGTTTCACCCGGGGGTGATCTCATCGCTTACGTGAACTTCCCGGGAGTGTATGTTGTGAACCGGGACGGTTCGAACCGGCACCAGGTATATCCTGGAAACGCCTTCTCAACCTCGTGGGACCCGGTCCGTAAGGGCGTCTTATACACTGGTGGCGGACTGGAGTTTGCACCTGAGACCGCGGAGGTGGATATCATTGCCATCACCATTGATGATGTTGACCGAGCGACCTTTAAGAAGTTGACCACAAATGGGAAAAATAATGCTTTCCCTTCACCCTCACCAGACGGGAAACAAATCGTGTTCCGGTCTGGTCGTACAGGTCATAAGAACTTGTACATAATGGACGTTGAAGTTGGCGAGAGTGGCGGGCTCTACAGGTTAACGGAAGGTCCGTGGACGGACACAATGTGTAATTGGTCTCCGGACGGAAATTGGATTGCGTTTGCGTCGGACCGAGAGGACCCGGGTAGCGGGAGCTTCGAATTGTACGTGATTCGCCCGAACGGAGCCGGCCTCCGGAAGGTGATCCAAAGCGGGACGGGCGGGCGGACCAACCACCCGTGGTTCAGCCCGGATAGTAAGAGCCTAGTCTTCACTTCAGACTATAGGGCCATATCAGCTGAGCCCATCTCAAACCCACATCACTACCAGCCTTATGGGGAGATCTTTACTGTGAAATTGGACGGCTCTGATCTTAAGAGGCTGACACAAAATTCTTATGAGGATGGGACACCGGTGTGGGTCCCCCATTTCATTAGGCCCACGGACGTAGAGTGGCCCATCGATAGGCCTGGGTGTGAGTTTGAGGACTTGCACTGGCTCAGTGAGGTTCCTAGCTACGGCGTCTTGAACATGCGTCAATGTGGTGTGTAATTACAACAGCTTTGCTCACTTGCACATTTTATTTCACGTGTGAACGGTTGAGATTTAAATAAATCTTATTTAGTTAAATCTTAATCGTGTGAAAGAAAATGTGTTGTGGTTTTATTACTACTACTGTTACGACTGTGTATAAAATGTAGTGGATTTACCAGGCTACTTTAAACCATGTAAAGAAGAAATAAATCCATATATTCCGTACCGTCTTTGTTATGTGTACGGTGATTGTAAAAGAAAAACGTATGTTGTGAAAATAATTTGAAAATAAGTTGTGAAAATTTGGTATTGACAATTTGGTATTACTACTAGTGGTTCATTTAGAGTCAATTTGGTATTGACAATGAGTTGTGAAAATAATCACTTTTCGACTCTGTTTTAATTCGCTGAGATGAGAAGATGTTGGAAAGTTAAGACGATCAATTTCTACTAACCACAATACAACAGTAAAAATACACAAAACTCATCAACTACATTGAGCCTTTTTGTTAACTAAGACTCCCAATTACCAATTACCAATTACCATGCACAAAGATTCCCAGATAAGGTAAAAAACATCAAAGATTCCCAGATAAAGTAAAAAACAAGGAAAAATTTACATGGCATGGCTTGAAACTAGCTCTGCTGGCTGCTGCTACCACAAGTTAAGTCACCAGAAGCCTCCCATCCAACAAGAACATTGGAGTCGAAACGTAAAGGTCTCCGATCCAGCGCCATTAAGTTTGGTACTTTGAAGGGATTGTTGGCGGGCAGTGCATCTTCGCGACGTATTTGTACTGTGACAGAAATCAACAATAATAAATGTCATTTACACATGAACAAGTAGGCATGTGAGAGAGAGAGAGAGAACGTTTGATAAATTTTGCTTATACCTTATGCTGACTGTATTTCTCTCTGATAGCAGGTAAACTAGAAGTCTGGCTATCGCAACACAAGCGATGAAGAGCATTGATGCAGTCGCGCAAATCAGATGGCTGGTAGAGCGTGTAATGATGCAAGGTGGCATTCTGTTTCCGAAAACAACAGATGGAAACCGAAAAGAATGGATGGATAAGTGTACGTTGTATTGGAGTTTAATCAGTAAACTCGTATAAAATATTAACAGGACACATACCCACGGTCTCTTCGAAGGAAGAAGTATGTAGTTGGCCAGGAAAATCGCAGAAGCAGCTATAAGTGATGGAGCATAACAAAGCATGCTGTACTCGAGAAGGGATAATTCCGCAATGTAGTTTGCTAAGCACTCCAACTGCATCGACGTAACCTAGTAATACAGAAATAAAATCAGCAAAAAGAACCAATGTTTCTCATAGAAGTAAACAAACGGACGAACGGGACATTCAAAAACTCCAAAAGTACCTCATTGGCGCCTTGAGCAGCCCGCAAGAATCGCCTTAAGAAACATTTAGTTGTTGGGGCTGTCATTTCAAACTTCAAGTAATTCAAAACATCGGATTCCATTTGCAAAACCTGCAGCAATGAAAGTTTATGTTTATGTTTATGTAGCTCACCGAAAAATCTTCTAAAATCCAGAGTTCAGCAGAAGCAGGATGAAAACCAACCTCGTCTTTGAAATATGTGTTGTCAGTAATGTAACAAAATTCTTCCACCTGCGGTGCACATATCTCTTCATATTTGCTGAAATGTAAATAATTTTTCTTGTCAGTAATTCAAAACTGGTGATCATGAGAACAGAGAGAGAAATAATAACATTACACGCTACAAATCGGAGGCATAAATTCTTACGATGCAATCATCATACAGGCAACACCGAGTAACTGTAATCGTTGCCTATTCATTGGATTCCCCGAAAGATATCGATCTACATAGTTCACAGTCAGATATAATGTATCGGGTACAAGCCTGTATTCTTCAGCCACCTGCAGTTGGAATTAGAAATTTAGCCTCACAGGATTGAAAGTAAACATTTCAAAAAACATAGAGACATAAGACAATGGTAAAAGGTACTAAATATGTGACGCTTCAAGAAACATCAATTACCTCCACAAGCCAATCAATTAGTATAGCGCGCATGCTGGGATTGATGTCTTTCTGAGTTTTCTCCATGAAATCTGTAGCAGGCCTTTTCTTCACCTAAAGTTCATGGTAATTGAGCATACATCAGACACAGATAAATCAAAACCAATAAGACGGTGGACTTCAAGTACGAATCCAGAAAATGTATTGATGTAGAATAATCTCAACACAAGAAGCTTTGATTATATGCGTATATACGTGCCAGAAGAAACTGTATGTTAAGTTTTCTGCAAAACATAAAAGTTCCAACAACATTGTATTTTATAGTGTCAGAGATATGAACAGATGTCACAAACCTCAGATGAGCGCAAGTGCTTATAAATATCGCAAGCAAATGTTGCACAAAGCTGTGGATCCATGAAATTGTTATCCAGATCAACAACTTTATCATTTTCCAACTCCGCAAGTACTTCTCTTTTGCAGCCAATCCCTGAAAGCAGAAACAAAGCAAAAATGGATTATTATAGTTCAAAATGATGGACTTAAATACAAGGGGCCAGGACAAGGGAAATGCAAAATCTAGCTAAAATATGCCACCTGTTGTTTCTGCATTGTCTGAAATGTAGAGGTTGCTGAATGTCGTCCGGTTAATAGAATCAATTGCAGGAACATCATTGTTGTCGACGTACTCAATGTCCGGACTCTTAAAAGAATCGCACGTTGACATTGTCTCGTCCATAGAAACTGAGTTGCCATCCGATTTACTTGGAGAAACATCCATGCTGCACGGGCCAGGTATAGCGAAAGTGCTAGGGACATTGCTTGGAGCAGCTTCATCCCTTCTCGGGCAAGATGTAACCTTTGGAAGAACAGGTAGATTTGGTTTAACACAGAAGGGTGCAGGTGGGTTACTCGCTGACACGCCTTTGTTACCAATGCAAGCAGGAGGTCCCCTTTTCACTTTGGCAATCTTATTTGTGGATGGCACCTTAAGATATGAAATCAATTGATCAAATTCGGGAAACATTAACGGTTAAGACCAAGTGAAACTTCAAATTACATGTATGCGGATTTTGTTCAATGCAATCAGCATTAAGAAGGGGAAGTAAAATCTTCTGAAATTTTACTTCCTATCATTTACAAGCACACATCCAGCACATAAAATAGGACGATTAGAAGATCGAACGAGATAGAAATACACACGAACCGAGCCATCACTTCAAGTCCTAAGCATTTTTATCTTGCTATTAATCCAATTACTGGTAAACTTTAAGAAAACAACAGAGATAAAAGTAGAGAGATATACATCAGTCAATGCATAAAAAACAAAAATTTAAAATTTTATCACAAAACGAAAATACAAAAAGCGAAACCAATTATTAGCACATACCAAAGCGCACAATGATCCTCCTGAGCTCCGTAGACCATTGTTAGGCACGCTGTTCCTATTCGTCAGGTTACTCAGAGGCGCTCGCTTCTTTCCCAAATGCGGCTCAGCTGCTACAGCCTTCCCACCATTCCCCGAAGCCGAAGACGACGATGACAAAGCCTGCCGTTTCGCCAGGGATGAGGGGAACGCTGAACGACGGTTCTGGTTCGACATTTCGGATCAAACCCAATTCAAATTTTTAGTCCAAGAAGCTCAGACCCAAGAAAAAAAGGGGCTTCTTGGAGAGAGAGAGAGAGAGAGAGAGAGAGAGAGAGAGAGAGAGAGAGAGAGAGAGTTTTTGTGGCTCTCTGGTTTTCAGCAGAGAAAGTGTGCGCGAGACTGATGTGTGAGAATTTGAGTTAATTATACTTTTCAGGCGGGGAGATTGGATAATTTGAATTGGGAGACGATCTGGGCCGTCCGTTTGGCTCGGTATTCGTTAGGAGCGGACAAGGGTGGGACCATGTGAGTTTTGAAACTTAGACTTTTTGTTTTATTCGGATGAGCCTGATTCGTCCGTTATTTGCGATGTATGTCACAGGCTGTCGATTTTAGGTTTGTTTGTGCTTTTTGAAAATTCAAATTCAAACGGTCGTCAAGGCTTCAACCCTACAAAATAAAATGACCTAATTCGCCATGTCATAGACGTGAAACAGTGTACCGGATTTCTATCTTTGTCACAACAATTTAATTTGTGTACGGTCTCCAAATTCAAATTGTAGATCCATTTAATTTGGATGGTGTATTGTCCGACACAATAAAAAACATGATTCAAAACAAATATGAGATTAATAGGTTTGATTGAAGTTGAATGATAAACCAATGTGAATAAACTTATAATAGTCTAAAGGCAAATGTGACCTTAATTGATAATCAGTTCATACTCAATGGTTCCATACGTACATGTCGAATTTTTTGTATATACCATAATGAGAAAGCTTTACAAGTTACAATGAGATGTATATGAGATTGAGAGTGATTGAGGGAGTCCATGGACTAACGAGCAACACACCTCAACCTTCTCCTCAAATCAAGCCCTAAATTAGGGGCCTAGAACACCAATTACAAGAAACAATCAGCTACTCTAAATCATAGAAAATGTGGTAATCACAACTCACAACTAGACACTTACAAGGAGATATAAAGGCAACTTTATAGCCTTAACCTCATTAGGTTTTTTTTAGTAGAGATGAGAGAACACAAGCTCTCTCTCTCTCTCTAAGGGGCCGGCCATGTGGGAGAACACATCTTCTACCTCCCACATCACTCATCATCTTCCTTCTTCTCATCCTTGGTGTCGAAACTTAGAGGTCTCTAACTTTGGGGACTTTTGGAGAATCATTCAAGCATCCAAATCCAAGAATCCAAGGAGGCTACAAGATGAAGATGAAGGCCATGGAATTCAACTCAAAGAGAGGAATGAAGGCCCTCTCATAGGTGATTAGCCTTTGCTCATGCAAAGAGGAACTCCAAAAAGGTATAAAGAAATCTCAACTCTATCTCTCTGATTTAAGTTGAGTCATGGTTCACCACCACTACTAGCTTTGAATTTCAAGGTTTAAGTTTTGTTTTAAAGTGCATACAAGCATACTATACTTCCGCCATTTAATTGTTAAATGCATGCAATATGTTGCTTAATGAACTTAGTTTTTCAAATATTTTCCTTCAATTCTAAGTTCATCAGGATGTGACTACAAAGATTTTCATATTTACATTAGTACGTTATATATTTATATGAATAGTTTTGTTTTTAGGTGAAACGCATTGCAAGGATCTTCGATGCCGCGAGGCGGGTTCGACCCGATGACATGATTTGTGAGTGGGTCTTTACTTTTAAATATTACATATTTATTTATTTTCCATTTATATATTTAATAACGAATTTTCTACGCACGCCTAAATTATATTAACGTTTATAAGAATTAGCGTATTGACAGAATTTACGGAATTTTACTAAATCCTACGAGATGCACAGGTAGACGAACTATTATGGGATTTTATTTACAATCATGATTAATATTTTATTGATTAGTATTATGTCTATGTGAATTATTGATTTACCGTTGCATGATAGTATTTACGTTATTTGCCCATCGTGTGCTGCACTGGTGTTAGTACTCATCCGGGCTAAGGCCAGGCTTCACGTGTATGTTCACATCGCATCGTATGCTCACTTTGGATTCATTGTAGGTGCCAGTCCTATCCTAGATTGCTATAGGCAATTGGGACTCGTATGTGATGCGCATAGCACCATTCTTCATGTAATTGTAGTACTAGAGCGTAAGTCACTATTTCACCCAGTCATGTTCATGTTAGAATACCTCTGCATGAACTTGTGTGTCAGCATATGTCGATGAGCATCCGATATTATATCTTTGTTCATTCGAGTTATTGTGATTACCGGTTGTCATGCATATTATATGCTAAATATTGTGAATTGTTGCATTCTAGTGATATTACGGTTTAAGATAAACGTTTTCATACTATATGTAATATATATATATATATATATATATATTTGGAAACTATACTTGTTTTACGATGAGGGATTATTACATTTTTGAAAATGTTTTATAAAGCTTTTTGTTAAGGCCCACTCATCCATTTTTTCACCCCTCCAGGTTTTAGTGGCAGAGCTTTCGTGTCGACGAGGATTCTTGACAAATCTTGGTTTAGGAGATTACCTTCGACGGTATAATTCTCATTCTACTTTACTGTACTTTACTTATGCTCTGACGTTACGTGTAAAATGAGTTCATTCCCGCTCACAAGCGCAGTCTTACATTTAGGCACTTTTAGTTTTAAATTTACTCACATTTCCACACTTTATGGCTTCGTCACCTTCCTAGTGTTGGCATGCACAGCTCAATTCAGAGTTCAGGTGGACATTCTGGGTCGTGGTGTGTCAAATTTGTCATCTCTCCCTAACTTCGTTAATTTTTCCATCCAATATAAGTCATGTGCCTCGCACATTACTTGTGTTTAGGGTCATTTCAGTCATTCTAATACCTTACTTCCCTTTTATTAATTGTATTCGACAAAAAACTGTAGGGTTTCTTAGGCAATGGAACAATATTTTCTATATGATAGCAATGAAATGGTCATGCAATGCACTATCTTCTGGTTATTCCAAATATGCAATGATACACAAGTGGGAGTTTGCATTTTAGCATGTCACGAAGACATAATTTCATACGGTCTCTATAAATGAGAAACATGTTGACGTTTTGTGCCATAAATGGAGTTGTAGATGCACATGCGCTAAAGAAAAGTAAAAAAATTAAGGGTTGAACTAAGTAAAAGTAAAAAACTTGTGAAAAATGCTAAAATAACCTAAATAACCCTACACACAAGTCATGTGCGAGGCACATATAACTTATATTGGATGGAGAACTTAACAGAGTTGGGTTGAGATGACAAATTAATAATTTTGTAAAGTTGGTATGACAAATTGCTTAAAATTTTAGTTTTTATGACAAATTGAAAAGTACGAACAAGTTCATATGATATTTCAAAATTTTTCCCATCATTTTAATATGTAGTGTGTTTATATTTGGTAATTAATCAAAGTAAGCCCTTTTAGTAGAACATCTTATATCATTTTGTCTTAAGAATTAAACATACAATTAAAAAGGAGGAGGACCCTTGAACAAAATTATGTAAAGAAAGAATTAAAAAAAGAATAAAAAGAGTGGCAAAATTTGGCTCAAATGAGTAGCTATTTTTCTTGTGGGACCCACTGCTTATTGGGGCTTGTTGCCTAAATTTTTGCTACCAAATAAAGGAAATTGCTAGCCCAAGTGGTAAGTCTAACCCTATTTTCCAGCTTATTGGAGATGAAATTTACTTGAGCTTCATATGTAATAGCTTCATAGAGAATAAAGCCCCCATTAGCATCGGCCTGTAAGGCAAGCACATCAGCATGGCATACAAATTCATCACACAAATTTGGCATACAAATTCATCACATCCATGTCTCGACCTGAGACGAAGAAACCCAACGATAAAATCAATCGGTGTAGTAATGCTTTATCCAGTCCAGACCAACAATCTTTTCGTTCTAACTCCTAAGCAAAACATAATACACAAAAATGAATGGATTTCCTCCCTAATTTGATCTTTGAAGTAGAACAAAGTATCAAACAAGAACTACATTTGTACAAAATTCTACAGTTGGCACCGGCGTGGAAATTATAGAGCATTGGAGCACTCATGTGAGCTTCTAGTTGCTTAAATCCTGGAAGAACTCTGGAGGTATTGATGGGGGACAGTACTTCTTCGCCACAAACTTGTACTGAAACAGATAGAAATGTCTCAGATTGGATCAAAATATTTGAACATGCCAAATTGATTCTCAAATTCACTAAAATGCCATAATTGTTTCTAAAATTCTAAGATATTACAATTTCATGAAAGTAATGTGGTTCTCAATTATAAGGTATCCCTACTTAAAATCGTTTTCTACTAATATATAGATATTCAGTTTAAATAATACACTTTGGTTTTTTATTTCTCGCTTATCTCGTCATTGCATGTTTGTAGAAACGTGATCATCAAAGGAAATCTAATTTGAAAGAAGACAGAGAAGCAATCACAAGGGGCAGTGCAACATGTTCTAAACTTCTTATTGCGACTTCACTAGGAGAGTTGAAAAAGGAGAGAGAGGTTCTCGTCATACCTTATGTTGACAGTACTTCTCCCTAATTGCAGGTAAGTTTGAACCACAGCCATTACAACACAGTTGATGCAGCACTTTGACACAATCAAACAAATCAGAGGCTTGGTAAAGTGTGTAGTGTCTCAACGTAGAATTCTGGAACATAAAATAAGTGTACAAGACACGACAGTTAAAAATGTTGCAGCAAGAATAGAAAATAATTTTTTTCAAATACTCTCATACGTAACAGCATACCCAAGGTTTTTTCACAGGGGAAAGAATATACTTTGCCAAGAAGGCAGCAGAAGCAGCTATTAGAGATGGGGCATAACAAAGCATGCTATATTCTAGAAGAGACAACTCTGTGATGTAGGAGGTCAAGCACCAGAAATGCTCTGATGGAACCTAGGAAAAGTTGCACATTCAACAATACACATTATCAGGATTTTATCAGCACCATAAGACAAAAAGTCTCAGTAGTACTAAAATTTAGTAAAACTAGGTATATAAAACACAATGACATCAAAAGACATCAGCAGACAAAACATTCAATTATCCTGCGTTCAAGTCAAATTCAGATGAGAAAACAACTTCAATGGTCAATGAATAACGATTTGTAACAAACTTCATAACCTAAAGCATGTTCGGACATCTTATGATTGAAGGAAATTAAACAAAAAAACGCAAGTCGAAGACAAATACCTCACTGGTCTTTTGAGCAGCAAAACAAAATCGCCTGAAAAATTTATGATCCAGAAATCAATATCCATAGGGAAAAAGAAAAATAAAAAGAAGCAAACTCTCTCGTTTGAGTGAAAGTAACAAAGCTACACATCACCTCAAAAAGCACAAGGCAGTTGGAGCTGTCATTTCAAACTTCAAGTGATTCAGGACAGAGGATTCCATTTGCAAAACCTGCATCCCGGTAATTGATCAGTATTATTTAGAGTAAAAAGCCAACTCAAACAAGCACCTATCACTCCATCTAAGATTAGCAAAAATAAAATCCCAACCTCCTCTTTGGTGTATGTGTTGTCCGTGATGTAACAGAACTGTTCCACCTCGGGAGCAACAATCTCCTCGTATTTACTGGACAGATTGTCATCATTAAGTTATAATGCATCATTCATATACTTTTATATATTTATAGAGTCAAACACATCCGCATGCCCAAAGACAATATGAAGTAAATGAAAATCTTACGCTGCAATCATCATGCAGGCAACACCCAGCAACTGCAATTGTTTCCTATTCATCACATTGCCAGAAAGATAACGGTCTACATAGTTGATAGTCAGAAATAGTGTTTCTGGTACAAGCCTGAACTCTTCAGCAACCTATAAGTCATGATCACCATCAATCAGACAGAAATTCATGATATTGACAGACGAGATTTTTTTTTTATAATGCAAGGAAAACTCACTGTTCAAGATATGCAATGGTTGTTTCACATTAAACAAATCCAGACAGTGGGTTTACCTCTACTAGCCAATCAATCAGAATAGCACGCATGCCGGCATTAATGTCTTTCTGGATTGTTTCCATAAAGTCCATGGAGGGCCTTCTATTTTCCTGAAACCCAAGAAATCGAACCAATCGCATTACACAAGTGGATGCAAGAAAGGGGAAGTTATAAATAATTTGATAAGATTGTTGCAAGAACTTATTCTACAGACAAATTTCTACATAAAATGTGCAGACTAATATCCAATTTGGAGATGGGGTTCAAATTAAAGAAGTTAGCTAATTCACTAATTGGATTTTAATGCAATAATACTACAAGAAAATAGGTTACCAAAATACAGGACTATGTCCTAGATCATGAAATTCTTGTCCAAGTGAATACTCATTTCATCCATCCATACAATTTTCCGATTATGTCAATTTTTTTCCTTTTGACATTCTGTAGACATAATTTCTTAAAGTAGCATAGACAAATCTTATAGTGAGATTTAACATTATTTAACAGTTAGAATCCACCAAAAAAAATGACAAACAAAATGACCATGTATCGGAATAATTGACAACTAGTTTATAAGATATTGATAAAGTTTGTCGGTTTACAATAATAACTAGAATCTTAATTTGTTAGGAAGCAAATAATATGATGTCTATTTTCTGAAAGATCTCAAGAGTGGGGTTCTGATCTCCCATGTGAGCCTCTTTCCACCGATACAGAGACCAAAGGTGGAAATTAAACATTTTATAGAGAGGTTGCAACTGCACTGACTAGAACTCAAGATCAACTATTCCAGTAGCATGTTAAATGATTTGTTAGGATGTAAGCCAACTACTATTTTTTATACTTTACCTAAAAAGAAAAAAAAGTCATGCATGTACAATTTAATGCAATTCCATAAAAGTAACCTATTGCATACAAGCATTTCATATCCCACTTTAACAGTCAGTTAATCACGTTGGCTTCCAAATAGCTGTTACTAAGGACATGCTCTAATTTTTACAACCAAAAACCAATTTACCTCTTAAGATGTTAGCTTCGTTAAAGTAATTTACAACATCATGCTTGTTTAAACTGGTTGTGCTTACAATCCAGAAGTAGTAAAACTGACAGAATGAAAACTATGCTGCTGCAACTACAGAAATCAAATTGTGTTAACATGTTTATGAGACCCTTGTCCAACTGCAACCCACTAAGAATAGCATGTAGTAAGCATGTCATTTCTAAACGACCCAACAAATATTAGCAGATTCAAAGAAAAACTTCATAAGAAGGTAAGTAAATGTATAGAAAGTGGTTACAGTAATATACAGGAAGCTCACAAAATTATAAGCAATTTTTATATACAGGATCATTCATACTAGTTCGGAAAGCAGTGTCAAACCTCAGCTTCACGCAAGTGCTTGTATATGTCAGGAGCAATGGTTGCACAAAACTGTGGATCCATAAAATTGTCATCCATAGCAACGACTTTATCTGTTGCCTCCATATCGAAAAATATATCTTTCTTCCAGATGTTGGCTGAAATCAAGATTCAAAAATGATATATTTTAGAGGGCAGAAAATAATTTTCTTGATAAAAAAAGGTTAAGTAATGTATCATGCTAACAACCACACCGATCATGATGTATACCATTTCTCTTTTAACAAATTAAATGAGGGAGGATCCTCAACTAAAACAAATAGCAGAGAGAGAGAAGAAGAAGAAAACAACGTTTAAAAGAAGAAACCTTCTTTTCCTGGAGAGTTCGAAATGAATAGGCTCTTAGTTGTTTTCTTCTCGATCCATTTAACATCTGAAACATCCTCATTGTCAATATATTCAAATTCTGGACTCTTTAACGAATCACATGTAGACATGCTCTCATCCAAAGACACGGAAGCACTAACTGATCTGCTTGGAGATGCATCCCTGCTTCTGAATGCATGATTTACAGTACCACTGCTGCTTGGAGAAGGATCAGTTCGAATTACTTCGATAGCCAGATCAGTTCCTGAGAATGATGTATCACTGAAAGGAACCAGGATGTTTGATTTTGCACTCAATGATGCTTGAAATACATTCCCTGACAAGCCAGTATTATTCGTGCAAGATGACACTTCCTTTGTCATCTTAGCAGTCGTCTTATTGGCAATCGTCTTAGCAATTGTATTTGTACATGGCACCTTCAAGTATACAACACAGTCAATCTCTTTATCAAAAAATTATTGTCAATACACCTATATACCCGGTAGTAAGGTCAAAAAGCATTGACTTCTCCATGTTAACACAAATTGAAATATCACAAAACTTTGCTATATCCATAAATTGAAGGGCAATTTGATGTAATCACTCTACAAACATTTTGTGTCGAAAGTAGACAAAGATAGGTATTTAATTATTTAACCAGCTGCTGAATGGCATACCAAATTTATGCATATATGAATGAATTAAAATTATACATTAATCTCTAATCTGCATTTCGAACATTCCTAGAAGAATTACCTTGACCTAATTTATGTGATTTATGCTATCAAAATTGATTAAATATACATTAAAATGAAGATTAAGCATCTTGAACTAGATACTGTTTTTTTTTAAGAAATCAACGAACCCATTTTACTAAACCAATCAAATCGCCCCAATTTCCTGTAGAAACTCAAAACCACTTCAAATAATTTATCAAAGAACAAAAAATAATTCAACATTTGGGTTACGTAGAAAGCAATATTCAAGGTTCAGGTAATTTCAACATTTTCTTTTTATTTTTTATTTTTTTGGTCGAAGACTTTATTTCTAATTCTGAGTAAACAAGAAATTCAACATTTCAAGAAACAGAATCAAATAATAATTAATATATTAATTAATCAACGTAACGAGGACGAAGAGTAGACGAACCATGGGCTTCGACGAAGCTAGAGTCGGTGGAACGCTTTGACACCTATTCCTCTGGTTCGTGACGTCAGCGAGAGCAGTTCGCTTCTTGGGCACTTGGGTCTTGGCCGCCATGGGCTTCTTGTTCGGATGATGCGAAATCGAGGGCTTCTTTGTCTCCGACAACGAGGATGACAATGGCGGTTGACGGCGATTCCGGGTCGACATTTTCAGGCCAAACCCTAATCGAATTGCGTTGCAAGGAAGCCAATGTGGTTTAACTTCTCAAAGAAGTCAGAGAGAGAGAGAGAGAGAGAGAGAGAGAGAGAGAGATTTAATTGAAGCGCGAAGTCGTAGGGATTTCAAGGGCGGAGTAAAATGCTTTGAAGGTCAACGTCTTTATCAAATCTTTTTTTAAGGGAACTTTAACTCGGTACTGTTTACTTTAACGAAAAATTATATTTTTACATTAAAAAATTAATTCTAGTACTATTTATTTTACCCTTTATTTTTTCCTTATCATTAAAACTCAAAGTTTTCAAGCTTTTTTCTATTAGCTTTCCTTTTTTCAACTCTTTTTTTTTTTTTTTTGGTTAAAAAGAAAAGAAAAGAAAAGCCTGAAAACGAGAAACCTCGAGTATAGCTAGTTCTAGTACAATAAAAAAGAAAGTATTCCTATACGACTCAATTGATTTTTTATGATGTCAGAGGCATTCCAGTACAATAATGTAAGTAGTCATTTGACCTAAGACATCATAGTTGCCCAATGGTTAGGTCATTGATTTTTATGGTGTCAGAGGCATTCCATTCGAGAGTGTCCACGACATTATTATGGTAAAGCTGCCTAGTCATGTAGACATGTGAATGTTCAACAAGGAATCTCTAATCCTCAGTATGAGAGGAAAAATACTCTAAGATATGATTCAGAAATCTTCAGCTGAAGTATCAAGTGTAATGATGGAAGGCATTCCTGTACGGCTCAATTGAATCATATAACAACATAGTATAATCACACTAGGGTTTTGACAAAAATTATCCATACCCTAGTAATGTAATTGAGAGTATTGATTTAGACAATGATTGAATTAAATTGTAAATCCAACTGAATAGGTTCTCCGACAAAATTTTATGTTAGCTTGGGTAGCCATGATATATGGTTAAATGTCACTCATGGCTTGTGGGTCCTTCTAGATGATTAAATAAGTAGTCATCAAAGTAGAAGAAGAATTAAAAGTAAGTTTTAATTCACTAAGTGATTGTATAAGTACTATTCAATTAGATTGATACCAATCATCTCACTGCCTCACTAATTAGAACCTAAAATGATTGTACACCAATACACCCGTGTGACCCATGTGATGAGATAACTAAAGGATGATGAAATTAATTAATTAATTAAGTTTTATGATTAATTAGAAAGTCTAAATAAATCATAGAAGCGATGAAAGATCATGTTTGGGATTAAATATAGTTCGGGTTCTTTCGAGCTCATTGGGCCCAAACCACAAACATTGGATGACTTGGAAAAGAAAAAGGCCCAAGAAGAAAGCCTAGCACAAGGGGCCGGCTGCCTTAAGACAAAAAGAGTGAGAGATTGACTTTCACTTCACCTTATAAAAGGTGTGTTAAGGGACCATGTGATGAGATAACAAGGATGATGAAATTAATTAATTAATTAAGTTTTATGATTAATTAGAAAGTCTAAATAAATCATAGAAGCGATGAAAGATCATGTTTGAGATTAAATATAGTTCGGGTTCTTTCGAGCTCATTGGGCCCAAACCACAAGCATTGGATGACTTGGAAAAGAAAAAGGCCCAAGAAGAAAGCCTAGCACAATGGGCCGACTGCCTTAAGACAAAAAGAGCGAGAGATTGACTTTCACTTCACCTTATAAAAGGTGTGTTAAGGGAAAAAGTTCCTTAGGGTTTTTGTGTGTGTCTTTCTAGCCTCAAAAGAAAACAACTCTCTGTCTCTCTTTTCCCACACAAGGTTGGCCACCAAAGGGAGAGTTAACTAATCATCTATTTTCCTTTTGGTTATTCATTTATCCATCTCACTACACTAGTGGGTGTGGATCTTTAGAGGTCTTCTACACTTGGAGGGTTAAGGGTACCGTTTGGTACGTCCCACGTTTGGTGCGCCAAATTGCTTGGAACGCATTGTCCCGTGGAACGAATTATAGTTAATTTTTTGTACCACCCTCCCCCTGGAACAGACTTGTTCTAGCCCATGGAACACAAAATGATGGTTTTTTTGGACAACAATACCTGTTCTCTTTTTCATTAATTCCACTGTTTACTCTATCTCTCCCATCTCCTCCCTCTGTTTTACCCTTTGTTCTACCATCTCTCTCATGTAGCATTTTCCTCCACCACAAACCCAGCAACCCAACCATGGCTAACCCAATCCTAGAAAACCCATCTGAACCCAACCCCCACGTTCCTCTCACCGCCTCCCTCATCCCTGCCGCCACCCACTAAAAAGACGTGGCCGACACCGTCGCTCGACAATACCCCGCTGCTTCTCCAACTCAACACCCCTTGAAGTCTTGATTCAACATCAAGAGATGAGGTATATCTATATCTATGATTGAGTACCTAAACAAATAATTAGAAATTTTATTTCTTCAAAAACTCTCGAATTCTACTCCAATGAAGACTGAATTGAAAGTTTCGATTCGATGATAGAGGTTGTGGTTTCAAGCCAGTGGTCGACATTTTTATGGGTCGTGGATCTGGTCCCTTGATGCTAATAGAGAATCTAGATAGCCGGGGAGAGAAGGAAAGAATATTGCGGTCCTGCAGAGGAAGAGAATGGAGAGAGAGATCTGAATAGGTCTTAGTTCGAGAAGCTAAGATATGGGGATCAAATCCCTGGGGTTGAGAGGATGGATACGCTTGTCATTTAATCCTTCATGCCATTCTGCCATGCGCGTACCAAACACGGAATAGAACAATTGTCCAATCCCGTCTTGCACATACCAAACGTAGCATGGAACTTTCGTTCCATTCCATTCAATTCCGTCTCGTCATTGTTTGTTTAGCTCAAATCATATTTTACAATATTAGGAATTAATTTTTGTAAATAATAATTTGTTTAATAAAAACAAGTAGCATATGTTGGATTCAGTTTTGGTCAATTATCCGAGAACACACAACCATGAACCAACAGGTCATGTTGACACATAGTTTATAACTTAAGTAGTTAGAAATATTTATTTTGTACTTTTATAGACTTCAATTCTATTTATCTTATTTTGATATCGCGCATGTAACATTTAAAGGCTAAATATTTACCTAAAAACATGTCGTGTTAATCGAACTGACTACAATAATTATAAGTAGTATAATCTAATGGTGTAATGCTCACTCAATGAGGAAATTTGGAAAATAAGCATATTTTGGATTCTAAATAAAATTATAACCACATTTTAAAGTTTACTAGCATATGGGCACACACAAAAGTGTGTGAGAAAATTTTTTATTTTTGTTTTTGAAATAGAAGGAGAGAGGAAGGATGTGACAGCCCGTCCCAGAAATATTACAACGTACGTGTGAAAAGACAAAATTGCCCCTAGTTCGTTTTCTTTACGTTTATTGGTTGTTTTGAGTTTTGGTTGGCATGTTTGGAGCCACACACACCTTCCCACACACCACAGCCTTTTCCTCCTGTTTCCTGCACCTGTCCCGAGCCCCATTCCTTCCCATTCTCCTTGAAACGTACGGACACACCCACAAACCTATCAAACCTCCACAGATCGAAGGAACTAAGGCCATATTCGAGCTCGTGAGGCTTGTAGGAGTCCAACTATACCATTTTCAGGTAAGAACACCATCGTTTTCACGTCGAATCCACGATGTCCGATTTCGAGTACTGTTCATGCAAACGTGATTTCTCACGTTTTAGGGAATTTCAAGCTTGTAGGTAGCTTGGTGAGGTCCCTAGGAGGCTCGAGGTGGTTCGTTTGAAGGATTTGGACGTCGGGATCACTAGTTTTGAAGTTGGCCGGAGTTGGGTTGAATTTTCAGGTGAGATTTCGTGGTTTTTAACCCTTGAAAGTAGTATGATTGTGTTCCCCTAGTTCTAAGCTTCATTTTGGTACCAATTTTGTGAAATTTGGATGAAAAACGAAGAAGATATTGAAGTTTGAATTTTTCCCGATTTTCCGGCGCCAGCGACGGCGTTGGAGGCTCGCCGGAGAAGACGACGGAATATTCCGTCAAGTCTTACGGAATATTCCTGACGCCGTTGACAGAATCTGTTAAATCTGACGGAATATTCCCTACGGCGTCAGTTGACGCTGTCAGCGTGCTAGGCACGTGCCTGCGCGTGGCCGGCGCATGGGGGCGCGTGCGGCGGTGAAAAATTATTTTGAAAATATGGGGATGTTCCTAAGGTTGAGTAGATCACGTTGGTGTATTCATACACCCCATTTGAGCATTGTATGAGAAGTTATTTCTAAAGTTTGGTTATGTGCTTTAAAATTAATGTTTTTATAGTTATTTCGCATATAAGTGAGACGTATCCCGAGGACGAGCGTGGTCACTCGAGGCAGGGGGTTACGACCCTTCCACTTACTAGTGAGTGGGCTTTTGGTTTTCCGTATATACCTATATACTTATATTTTCCCAGAAATTGATTTGAATTGTCATTTGCCATATGCCATACATTAGATTATCGTTATTTATGCATCGTTAGTTGCATTATTAGTTGTATATATATACATATGCATATTGGGTGCTGCAGACGCACATGTAAGTGCCAGGTAAGTGTTATTCATGTTTACTTTCAGTAGCTATTCGAAAGGCTTAGAGAGCTCATAACCTGCACCCCCGGTGTTAGTGCTCCCGCCCAGAGTAGGACACAGTCCTTCACGTGTTGTTCACCTCCCGCACCACACGCTCAGCTTGGATCCAAGTTAGGTGCACAGTCCTGTCGTACAGACCACATTAGGTGGTTCCGACTAGTAGGTGACCCGCGATTATTCGCACAGCCTTCATATGATCGTAGCACTAGAGCGTTTATATGTATTACACCCAGGCCTGTCGTACAGACCACTTTAAGTGGTTCCGACTTGTGGGCAGGTTTAGTTATTGAGATTGAGATTTGAGCTCTAGATGCAGCCGTACAGGTCACGTTAGGTGACTCCGTTGCCAGACTATATGTTATTGATATGATTTCTACCTGAGCACTTGCATTTCATTCTGAGGTTCCGACATGGCATATTCTTAAGCATGATTGGTATATATATGTACATATGTTTATTTTCTGGGAAGTATACATGTTTTACGGCGATGGGTTAGAACTTATTTGTTAAATGGTTTTCGAAAAGCTTTGTTTTGCCCACTCACGCTTTTGTTTT